AGCTTTTCATTAGATTTCAAGGCCCAAGATCTAAATGGTTTCTTATGCATAACTTCCGATTGGAAAATATCAGTTGTACCTGTTTCCTCTGTAATCCTACCTTGGAGATTTTGGCTTGCAAAGAGGAGAGATAGAGGAAATGAAGAACACACAATTCATGCGTCCTAATTTTAGGCATACCTCAGATACTAGAATGAAATTTAATTTTCTCATACTTGGAGATACACTTGTCATTTGGCTAAAAATCTGTGAAGTGTGAACATTGTGGGATAAGAGTAAGCATAAGAAGCTGGGATGGGTTTAGGAGGATTTAGGGAGCCGCAAGGCAGATGGCAAAGGTGGGAGCTAAGATGGAGGACCTAAAAAAGTAAGAAAAGGGAAAAAGGGGATGTAATGTAGGGACAGAAGAGCTGATAAATTGTAGTGTGTGCTTTCAGCCAGAAATCTGAATTTAACCTGGGATTTGTTAGGCTCTTGTGCCCTCAGCAAATTTTAGTGAAATCTAATGCAGAGAGTCGCTCTTCCACCATTGGCTCATGTAAAGGATAGCTGTTGTCTGTTTTATGAATTGTGGTAGAAATTTATACTGGCTGCATTGATGGATCATGTGAGAGCTTATGTTCAACAATTTGGAATTAGGAATTTTTGCTGTTCATACATGCTCTTTAAGAAAGTGAAGAGATTAAAAGTTAAAAACCTATGTTAAGTTTTGCTTTTGAAAGTTATAAGATGCCACTCAACTTTAATTTCATCTTTTTTCCTATTTTCATGTACCTTTCAGCTATGCGTTCTTTCACCCTCTTTTTAACACACAGAATCCCTGCCTCATTTAAGGCACAGGATAGATCATGCTCTGTAGGTAGTTCAGGATCATCTTCCTGTCTGTCGGATTTTGCTTCACTTAAGAAATTTTAAAGAAATGTGATGAGTGAGGTCCCTGCCTCATTCTGTAGATAAGAACTTTAGGAGAGAAAAAAGTCTGCCCGTCTTTAAGGGCTAAAAATCAGATTCTAATTCTGCCTTTTTCACAAGACATCTCTGCTTTTGGTTAAAGTAGTTTAGAACCATTTTAAAAGGCATTTGTAGACGCAAAACAGTATCTGGAGTTATTTTTAAAGGGCCTATGTACTGAGCCGCATACACAGGTACCTAAATGCTTTCAAAAATATGTCCTTAAAATTCTACTTTCCATTGCTGGAATTGCTTTTTTTTTTCTTTTCTTTTCTTTTTTTTTTTTTTGGCCCTATGTTGAGATAACTGGGGCAAGTTTGAAAAAAGACTGAGGTCTCACAGCTGCTGCTAGGCTGTTCCGGGCCATTTTTGAGCCCACAAGGCAATAAATAATGAGGGGAAAGTGTCGTCACTGGAGACATGCAGGCTACCCGTAGGAGTGCTCTGAGGGTTCAGGTAAGCGGGAAAACTCTGGAGTGCTTTTACCATCCCAGATGAAGCTGCAATACTGGATGCGCTGGTGCTGGAGGTTTTAAGGAAACGTAGGTGCACATCATACCTTCCCTCTGCCCAGACAGCACGGTTTGGTGGAGAAGGAGCTCAGGCATACAGGTTACTTTCCAAGAGAAAAAAATCTATTCAGAAAACTTGAAGTGAGAAGTATTCTGACAGAGAAAAGTCTTTTCCACCCTATGATGCCTGTAGAGCAGGGCCATCCTCAGTGGTGAGGAACCCAGGAGTCCTGTGAGAAAAAAATACTCTAATAAACTCTGCATGGATACATTCATTTACATTCCTTGTAAACTACATTCTGCTGCTGCCAACCAGTTTATGGCCACTAGTGATACTACCACTTCTTCCTATAAGAAAATTATGCCTCTTACTAACTGTAAGTGGGCACAATCCATCAGGAAATGAGCAGCAGTGCTGCTGGCATCCTGTGCTTCAATATGACCTTTCAACAGAGATAGAAATATAAAAATACTGCCTTAAACTTAGATCATTAATTCTTGAAGAAAATTCTGATGCAACAGTTGGAGGTGAACAACAGAAACTTGCTAAAACAGCTAAAACACTCTAAGCCTGCAAACGCCGAGAAATAAAGAAAAGAATAGAAAGAAAATAAAGAAACAATACCTGATTAATTTAACAGCTGTCTATTAAAAAAAAATACATAAACTAAAGTCGCTGACCTGCTGTAGGGTCTCTGAACTTGAGACAGGTAGAAATCAGTATTAGCAGCGATCACCGTAGCCTCCTCTGATCTTTTTCTATTTTTGAAGGAGAGGCATACCAAAAAATACAATAATAAAAAGGGAATTTAAGAAATGTCAGAAACCTTACTTGGACTGCTACCAAAGGATGCGGGGGTTAGTTAGAGATGGAGTTGCAGCTTTAATTCTGATTTTTCTGGCTTTTGTCACTTCAAAGACAGACTCTTAGTGTTATTTTAACATTTTTATTGTGTGTGAATAATAGAGTACACATTGCGGTTCAATAGGTGCAATACTGTTAAATGTACGTCTTGGTGGATTTAAAAATGAGGGATTTATTTTGTCATTCATAAAGTTGTAATACAGTCTGGAGAAACTATTTGTTAAAAGATACCATCTACTTAACCTGCTTATTTATTTCTTGTAGTAGAAGGTTAGATCCACAATAAATACATGAGGAAATAAGTAGATAGGGGAATTTATCTTAGAAATAAGATCCCTGTCACGCTTTTGAAATGTGAAATGCATGAAGACCTGTCAGGGAGATATACGGACATGATATTTTTTTACTGTGCATTTGGAAGTATTTAGCTATATTTGTCATTCGCTAGTGCCACTAAGCAGTGATCAAGTGATATAGTAATTTGAAAGTCTGTTTTTGTTTCAGCATATATATATATATATATATATATGCACACATATATATATATATATTTTCCTTTGGGATGTAGCAGAACTGTACACAAGTCTTGATTCTTTTATCTTTCAGTCCTTGCGAAAATAATTCTCTGGGGAAAATTAGCCTTTCCTTAAATAGATTGCTTAAGATAGATAATTTATTTTTAAATATATTCTTTAGCTGGTGATATTATGCATAGATGAAAATTGTTATATTTGTATAGCACTTTGGAAAAAAAAAGACACTGCTTGCAAATTATAGTATTAATGTATTAAAACAGATAGCTTTTCCCTAAATTATGGATAGGGGCATACCTGATTTCATCATTTTGCTTGCACTTGCCAGAAATGATGCATCTTTGATAATGCTGGTGTACAGGATAGACCTCACAATACAAACAAGAGAAAAATGGTCTAGACAGGCAGAAGTAAAGGCATGTCTGATGCAGGCACAACTGCTGCTGAAGATGGAAAGATTATCACTGGATCACACAGCGATGATATTTTTACAAAAATATCACTGCATATTCTGAAATATACCAAATGTATTGCTACGTATTCTTAAATGGGTAGACTAGTTCTAGCTATGTGAAGGCCAAATGACCTGTTCTCTATGGTTTAGGTAGGTAAAAGAGGTAGAAAAGAGGTGGAATCTATACTCTTCTTTCTTATAAACCTGACCTGCTGGCACCGTGGTCATATCTCCTTGTCATCACCTCCTGACCTGCGCCACTCGTCCTCGGCAGAACACAAAATCTTCTTGCAGCGTCTCTGTATGAATTTTTCCCAAATAAGAAAAAGGATTTTTACAGTACAATGCCGAACATTCAAACAATACCATCGAGGTCACATCATAAGGATTTCACTGTTTGTTTTTGTTTTGAATTACCAGGCCTATAGCGTGCTTCTACACATACATACTAAATAAGTAAACTCACATATACAGTAGGCTTGAGCTAGTTATCCTGGTATTAAAGTTTACCTAATGCTGTATGCTGTCTCTATTGAGATATGTATATGCAGTTAGATTGATTTATTACCTTTTCAGGGAATTACTCTGGCTATAGATCTGTATTTCTGGTTTTATATGTCTATATAGAGAGAGAGATTTTTCTTCTATTTCTCTTTCTTTTTTTTTTTCTTAGCAGAGGAGACTCATTTTATTCCTGCAAAACATGAATAAACATTAAAAATGTAATACAAGACAATAACAAAAGATTATTTGTGGCTTGGATCTCTTTGTTAATTATATTTTAAATTTGTCGGCGTAAAAAAATCGCATTATATTTAAGACAGTGTGGCGTAATTTGAAGGTGCAATTTGAGGCTGATAGAACAAAATGGGAGTGGGGGACAGAACCTTTTCAGTTGTTATATTACAGCTGTAAAACACAAACGTCTAAATTGTAGTTTCTGCTTTAACAAAAATCACAGCATGAAAACACAGATATGAAGCAAGGTTTCCTTAGATTTAGACTCATTTTACATGCTGTTATAAAGTTATCTTATATAGTGAAGAAGTAAGGTGGTTGTGCTGAGCAGAATGAATTGCCTGTGCTTTTTGTTCTTTTTCGTGATTGGGATCTTTTATGTTTCCTGTGGCAGCACTGGGGAAGAGAACACATTATCAGAAAACACTTGCTTCAGGTTTTGTAGCCCCTTTTAAAAACGGCATTTTCGTTTTGAAGCAGTTTTTGTTTATTATAGTAACAGTGTGTTATTACAAGTAGTATTTCAAGCCTGCGCTGCCGCTGCCGCCGCCGCCACCGCGGCAGCAGGCTGGCACAGAGCAGCGTGCTTGTCTGAGTAGTTTAGTATGGATAGCTTTTCATTTAGCCTTTGCTCTGACAGCCCGTGCCCTGGATAAGTGGTGCGGGCCTGCACAGGTGAAATCTATTCTCACATTTGCCTCAGGGGTGACTGGACTGTAACAGAATTTTTCAAACCCGTTGGGCCCAACCGCAAAGCAGAGAATAAATGGCTGAAGTGCCAGGCCTCGACAGAAAAATCAATGCCTGGTTATACAGACATGACAGACCCGGTCTGCAATTCTCTTCACAAAAGTCTATGCATTTACCACACTTCAGGTTAAAAACATGCTTCGTTTCGTGGTTTGTGCCTGTGCGTGCCTTTCATTTCTCCTCGCTTGCCTCCGTAGGAAATTTCCGTGTCACCTGTGCGACCGAAGCTTCACAGAGAAGTGGGCACTGAACAACCACATGAAACTGCACACGGGAGAGAAGCCCTTTAAGTGCACCTGGCCTACCTGCCATTACTCCTTCCTCACAGCGTCTGCAATGAAAGACCACTTTAGGACTCACACAGGTTTGGAACATGTTTTTCGCTAGGGCTGGAGGAGAAAACCGAGGTGTGCGGAGGAGGAAAGCAGAAGCGGAGCGATGCTTCCCTCGCTCATTAGTAAAGTAATTTGCGTTGCTGGAGGGTGCCCCGCTTCAGCTCGCGACAGCGATAGGTGGAGAGGGGGAAGACCCAAGCGCACAGCCCAGTCATTTTGAAATCCGAGTTAGGTCGGATCGAGCTCGCTGGGGTGGCCATCAAACGGGATTCGCTTCCGTGATGGAGTGAACCACATGTAACACTGCGCAAGCGCTTAGGTGTGTCTGTGGCAATGCTTCACTTACTTACTGTTTAAATGCCTCTGTAGGGTGAAAAAAATTAGTTGCATTTTTTTAATGAAGTTTGGTAAACTCGATACAGGTGCAGAGGAAACAGAAGGAACGAGCTCTTCAGCCCGTGTTGTTTTTAATAGGAATCTTTTTTCTCTCTGTGCAGTCTTGTGTGAGTGTGTGGCTGTACGCTCGAGTAGAATACTCTCCGAAAGATAAGCTTGATTTTTCTTCAGAGAACCATAATTACTGAAGAAAAAAAAAATTAGATTTGCTGATGTGTTTCAGATGGGTCAAGTGAGCATTTCTGTAAAATATGTGCTTTAATTGATTTAAGTTATACAGAACCTTTAGCAAGGGAACAGGCATTGTTAATTCTAGGTTTGAAGTTAAATAAAATTTAAGCTGTGACAAGTGCAGTGTCTAGAAAATAAGTGCCTGTGAAATATGCCGAAGTCCTTAAAAATACCATTCAGTGCTAATAACAGTAAATATCATTTTTCATACAACCAGTATGTGACATTGGTTTCAGAAGAAATAAATGTATGGAATGCAGACTTTGAAATTCTATTAGGCTTCATATAATTATAGTACATAAAGAAAAGCGGAATAAGGTTGACGTTACATTATCTGAGCTCTTCTAGGACGTGTGTGGTTGGGAAAGCAGAAAAGAGACTTGGAAAAAATCATGCGATGTTTACAGCCTGATCACTTTCTCACAAAGATCACACACAATGTTTTCACTTGAACTAAAAATATTTGTTTATTATTCCTGAACAGATTGCTCCCTATTTGCTAAAATTCTGTGTTATTGCTAGAAACTATAGGTTAAAAGTTCCTCCAAAGCTGTTTGTGGGAAGCCCAGGCCTCCTTAGCTTCTTTGACAAGGGTGTTGACGATTTAAGGTCTCCAGCCTGCCCTGAGAGATCACTTATATCGAACAGCAGATGAAAAGCCAGTGCAGATGTAATTTATCGTCGGCGTTTCCTTCTAAAGAATAATTGTGGAGACTTGGCTAGATCAATAATATGGATTTTTGTTGTTAGGTCTTGTAGTCTGCACCATAATGAGAGATAGGGGACAGTGGCTGTTTTCTAATAGAAAATAAAGGATTGGTTTCCGTGTCTTTCTACATTTGAATGCAAAATGGCACACTTGAAACTAATTCAAGTTGTTAAGAAAAGGACCATTTTCTATTGCATTTCTGCTATCATATAAACATGGCAAGTTAGATCAGCCCCCTGTACAGCAAGTGAGGTATTGCCATTATATTTTCCTAAAAGTTAAAAAGTCGCAAATTTCTGAAGTTGGAATGATAAAATTGTTACGCCTATCCAGAGGAATGTAAAATACATCTATGTATCAACACATGCTCGTAACATCAAATGAAATATTATGTCTAGATGTGAGGAATTTAACCCACATCGAGCTTCAGGGCTAAGCAATACTGTGCAGTTGAACTTACAGTCACAGGTAATGAAGTTTGGTGTGTGTGCTTTCATGGATAGATGTATTTGTGCATATACTGTGATACGTACACAAATAATGTAATTAATTCATTAATATATCTGGAAGTGAATCTTGCAGAAAATAAAATGCATCACCTCCCTTCCTGAGCTTAAAAAGCAGGGACCAGATCTCGTTCGGTCTAGTGTTTTCTGGGCCAAAGCCTCGCTGACTTCCTCGAGAACTCTGCCTGCAGTACAACTCCCACATTAGACCTAGTTGAACATGGAATATTTAACTGGCACATTATTTTATAGGATGTACCAATTTCCCTATTTTAAAGCTGTTATTTGGTTTTGAAACGTTTGTATCAGTGGCTCAAAAAGCTGTTCCAAAAGCCCAAATATAAAATACCCAGTAAAGGCAGATGCGTGCAGAGATGGTACGGGTGCTCTGTGTCCTCATTAGCAAAAGAAGCTGCAGGCCATGCTGAAGTCTGCTCTGAGATGTTAAACGCAACATGAGCTAATTTATGACAATATATAGATGATGAACAATTTCTTGGTAGGCATGGAACAGCGTTTAACTTTAAAGTGTGAATTTTATGCTGGGGAGTTAGGTGTTACAGCTAGTTAGAAAGATTTATACTTAAAATTGATTAATTAATTAATTAATATTTAATTAATTATAATTAAGGCTTATTTTTATTCCTTCTTCTCCTTTTCTTTGCTATTTTGATGAACTCAAGTGCTACATGCTGAAATTCCTGATACAAAAAATAAAGGAGAAAAGAGATTATGTAGCAATTTCTGTAGAACAGTTCTGCATTACCTCTACAGTAATTTCATTGACCAACAATTTGCAGTAATGTTCAGATTTTGATACATCATTTAACATGTATGCATTTTTCATGTGAAACAGATACTAGCATGCCTCTGAAAACCAATGTGGCTGTGTGTTAGTTACTGTGGGTTTTTATTCTGCTTTTTCTGTTTTGCTTTTGAATTCCGTAATAATCACAAATGGCCAGAACTAATTCCTAAAAGGAGGTACCAAAAATATTTTGCACTTTAGGTACTGTCTTGGAATAGTTGTCTCATCATGGGCCATATTTTCCAAAAAAAAAAAAAAAGGGGGGGGGGAACCCCTCTAAAATTTCAGCCTGTGGTTTTCACGATCAGATTTTGGTGCATAAAATAACGATACATACAGTTTGCTTTATTATGAAGTGGAATTAACATGCGCCAATCGTATTTCAAAGCCTAACTACCTGCTAGAGGTTAATCAGAGTTTTTATGATCCCATTTTAGCGACAGTCGGGGCCGTCTTGGAAACGCGAAGGAATTGCTTTCCTTCTCGTGGCGAGGGGCGCAGGTGCTGCGGGCGCTGGGAGCGGCGCCCCCACGGGGCCGCGGCCCGGCGGGAGCGGGGAGGCCCGCGGGGCCCGGCCGAGTCGTCGGTGGGAAGAGGCAGCTGCACCTTGCGCTAACCCACCTCCTTACGTTAATGCCGCCTGCAGCTAACCGAGGCGCTATGCTTTTCCTGAAAGCACGCGTGCTAACTGGTTATGTGGGGATAAACAACATGGAGGTTTGTAGCCTCTGTCTTCATGGGAGGTATAAGTAATTTGACACCCGACCTCTTAACCCAGTCATCTTTTATAGAGGCTAAATTTCCTTCCCCACAGGGAAGAATTTGAAGGAGACGGTTAGTTTCAATGAATTCAGCGTCGTTGCTCCACTAGTCTCCTTTCCGCTCTGTGGCTGAGAATGGGGACAACTGGGCTCCAAATGAGTAAAGGGATTCTTTTTTGCAAAGCATTTTTAAAATTTTTGTTGGTATATCGCAGGTTAGCATTATTATTCTATAATGACCTTCCATGTGGGCTTTACGGGTTGCTGTTGCCTTGCATGTTCGTACATACTGAGTGAAAATGTTGCTGGGAAATGATAGATTGTATTTATAGACAACAGGGCAAAATCTTAGCTTGTATAAAAATACTGAAAACAGAGCATTTACAGACTTTTAATGAGTAGCAAGCTTGCCAAGCTCTCTCAAATTGTTCCAGAGATTTGGAAGGAAGAATTATCATTTGAAGATGAACAATACGAGTTCTGCTGCAATTTCAGTAGCAATCCCCAGACCTGTTTTCTTTATGTCATGAAAGTTTTACAAACATAAACAGTACTGAATTGCCACTGGTACTGAAGAATGTGGCTTTTATTGTTGCCTGGGCTCTTCAATATATTCAAGAAAGTAATTTAATACTTATTAATAAATAGAAGGTAACTAAAGATGACTGTGATCTAGTCTGCTGAAAATTTCTCAGTATGCTTAATTTGTTAGTAAATTCAATATATTTTATTTAAGCAGAATCACATATACACTGTATTAACTTTTTTTCCAGGCAATCTTTACTCAGCACAGAAAGGCCAGATGTATGGGAATTGTAAAAAATCAGGATATGCATAAAAACTGTTCAAGTGCATAAAGCAGCCCCATCTGGAAGACATCTAACAGAAATGAAGTTGTACAAAACCATTCCATTGATAATAAAGCTAATTTTTATGGGTCTGACAAGTATGTAATTATGTTCAGTGGTGCTTTTCAGATTTTATCACAGTCAATAAACCGCAGTGGTAATTTCATTCCCATTTGACATATTTACATGGAAACATTTGATTGGAGGAATTAGTAACCCTGAAAGCCTTGATAGATATGTTTTAATGATCTGTGACCTCCGCAGTCCCTCATCTGTTTATTGTTGCAACAGGCGAGAAGTCGTTCCTGTGTGACCTTTGTGGCTTTGCCGGCGGGACACGTCATGCCCTCACCAAGCATCGGAGGCAGCACACAGGTCAGTAAAGCTGTCTTTACTCTTTGGTATATTTTCTCCAGCAAGGGAGTATCTCCACACTAGGGAGTAAAGCAAGTCAAATAGCACATTGCAGCACAAATAATAAATTGGCTCGTTGTTTGCTTTCCTTTTTTCGTTTTGTGAAATCTGAATGCCAGAGGTCTGTATCAAATCTGTTAGCTGTGACAGATTTTGGGGGAGTATTTCGGGTGCTTTTTCTAAAGAAAGTAGAATTATAAATCCTGGGTTTCTTCTTTAAATGAATGCTAAGTATACTGATTTTTTTTTCAAGGCCCAAATAGATTACCTACTGCGAAGATTTTGCAAGAGTCTGCTAGAATGTCCCTGGGTGAAAATTAGAGACCACATATAGATTAATCCATTATTTTAGACTGAGACATAGTTGAAAAGTAGTGTTGTTTCAGTTGCCCTTTTGCAATTTTAAAATAGTTTGTAATTAATAGATGCAAGTTTAAGAGTTACCACATGGTTAGCATGTAAAGCAGGATTTCTCTAGCAGAATTAGTAAAGCTTTGCTACCACCTGGTTATAAAAATTTAATATCAGATAAAATTAAATTGGTTCTTAGCTTCAGAAGACTAAAAAAAAGTGTAAGTATTAAACATTTATTAATACATTTTACCATAATTGTGGGTTTTAGTAGTTCCTAGTAAGTGTTTGATTATTTGAATAGATTTTGTTCAAACAGTCACAGAAATGTCGCTGCTTAAACCACTGTAGTTTTTGTTTTGCTGACAAGCATGAGGATAGTATAACATCATCAAGACACAGTGTGAGTTAAGTGGCCGTTGTCTAATGTACAGTGGAAAGAAATGGCTAGCAAATATGAAGCAGTAATTACTACATCATGAGTTTTCCATGGATTTTTGTGAAGGAATCTGTGTGGGAGCTTTTAGTATGTCCCTGAATAAACTAATCCTGATTCAGGACATACACCATCAAAGTGTATAATTTCCTGGAAAGCAGCTACTCTCTGTTCTTGGGAGCCTGAAGCCATTTTTTCCACCCTGGTTTCACTTTATTAAACCAACCATATTTGGAAGCAAGTCTGATGCTCACAAAAAGGTGGAATTTCTAGTGGTGATCTAGCAATAACTTGAAATGGATTTGCTGTAAATAAAAATGTGCAAGGCCAGAATCTGCTCATAATTCTAACTAGCGATTATGCTAAACTTGGAGAATTTTTCTTCTGATAACAAAGAATGCACCTTTCTGGGAGAGGACTGCTGCTTCCAGTTCCCATTCATTGCAGGATGTTTGTATTGTTAAAATGTCCGAGTATAGTCATTTAGTAAATATTATAGGCTCTTTTGATATTGCACACTCTGAGTGATAACAAGAGGAGGTGCAGCTGCCAGAATGATAGTTGCGTGCTTTAGTTTTAACTAATGGTTTCCTTTTTTTGGAGCTTTGAAAAATTTTCACGCATTGGCTGAAATTTACCAAATCTGGACTCAGAATGAAAATGATTTTGTGATTCATTTTTAAAGTTTGAGCAGAAGTAAGTCATTGTTATCAACAGGATGGGCACTATCTTTTGTGTTCTATTGTCCTGCCGTGGGATCATGTCTATGCCTAGGACTAATAGCCAGGGCAGCCATCCAAATGGTAAACCGTTATTTTAGAACGGGAAAGTGGAAGAAATGTGTATTCTTACCTTTTATGTGAGTGCAGATGTAGTTTCTCAGAAATGTAAGGCCTTTATCATAGGTTATATTTTTTGTGTGTGTCATTAGGCCATAGGTCACTAGAAAACAAATTTTATTTCCGGGTTAATGTCTGAAATTAGGCTGAAAATACCATATGTTCCTGGTGAAAAGCTGTCTGGGTTTTGGATGGCATTTTGCCCTTCTTTACCACTGTGGTGGAGATTTTTGTGCTATGATCACAGGGATTCACAGGTTATAGATCATGAGGCTTGCATCTAGCAGGCATAACTTTATATTTTATGTCAGGACCGGAGGCTCGTTATTACTTTGCTATTAACTTTATACTATACAGGACAGTATCTCAGAGGCAGAGGGATCTATCTTTTTGGCATTTATCTGCCTCTGTGGCACAAACAATCAGAGATGATTCTTTAGCAGAAAAATTATCTGTAGCTTCTATTTGTTTCAAGGAGAATGACACAATCCACCTTTGCCTGCATTTTTGCACTTACATGTGTGTCCCTGTATTTTCATCCAGTGCACAACTTTATCTCAGTTCTTAGCTGCATGCACTCCTCTTCTTTGTGTCTATATTTTTTTCTACTTTGTTCCTAATCAATGCAATTTTCCATGAACAGAATGCCAAAGCAAATTACAAGCAGTTTTGAAAGGCATAGGTATCAAAAGTGGTCTAAATGGCTTAAATAATTCCCTGCTGTAATGCAGACTGTCTAGAGGGCTGACACAGAACATCTTCCAATCCAAGATTTACTTTTATCACCTGTCAGAGCCCCTTGATTCAAGGGCAAAGGAGCTAATCCTCCTGTGTGGCTGAGGAGTCTTGACCAGTTTAACAAGCCTCCCCTTGTCCCAGCCTCAAGGTAGGAGGTGTCCTGGCACCTGTGGGGACTGCTCAGCTTCTCCCACAGACTTCTGACATGAGAGGGGACTGCCTTACAGCACTGGCCTCTTAGACATTTGATGTTCTTGCTTCTGATATTTTTTACTCTGCTCCTTCTCCTTTTAGACAAGATTATTTTATGTACACGGAGGAATACCTTTACCCTGCAAAAGATGCGTTTGCTTCGGTGATATTACGTGGGGTGTAAAGTATAACTGAGGTGGCAGAATGGGGCCCTTGGTGACTCACAAGGCAGCATGGCTTTAGGAATTAGCTTGGTAGCTAGAATGTTATCCCCGAAAGGATATGTTTTTGGTTTTTTAAGTGAAAAAAGTACAGGTACCTTAAACTGAAAGGAAAAGCCATTCATTTTAAGAGCTGAAAAATGCACATGCTTAGCTTATTTGCAAACATGATACATCTCCATACAGACTTCCTTGATATAGGTTTATTCAACTGTGAAGTAGAATGGTAACAGTGAGAAAAAAATAATTTGACCTAGCAAGAAATCCCTGGTGTTTCAGTGGTTGACATCTTTATTCTGTGTTATCTATGTTATCTACTTAATGACTAACCTGCTGTTGTGAGAAGTGCAGACTTTGAACGCAGAATAAACCAAGTCTTCTACTGTCTTTGTCCTAGTAAACCTTTCTAGGGTTATCTTGTGCTTTGAGAGTATCTGCTTCCAGTCCAATTCTACAATAAATCAGTCTAAGAAATGCAGCAGGTCTTTCACCAGCTATATTAATATCAGGGGTCTGATTCTCTTCTCTATCAGTTGAAGCAATGGAAGCTTCAAGAACCCAACACTCTTCCTGTTCCAAAGTCTGACCACAATTATGTCACGTTATAAAGGATGCTTATGTCTCTGTCCTTGTTGAATACCTTACAGTAGACACTTGTGACTGTCTAGGCTGTGAGCAAAAACTGGTTTAAGAAACTTAAACCACTTGCGATAGCCATTGATGCCATTTGGTAAATGAGGGCCAGCTTGCAGGGCAAGAACTCTGGTGTTCCAACAGGGCTGGGAGGGAAAATTTTCACCTCGTCAGTGAATTGCTAACACGGTTTTTTTTAATTCATATTTTGTCCCAGTGAGAAAATCTGCCCAAAGATGGGCAGGTAAGTAATATTGCAAATTTTAGTGGTGGCTGCCTATAGTATTAGTTAAAATTCTCAGAGAATTTAAGTATAAGATAATCTGGATCTTATTATTAAAAAAGAGTAAATAATCTTTAAATCAGCCACCAAAATACACACACACAAAATGAAATACAGTATATCACAAAATTTAGATGCTTTGCCTTAATATTGATAAACCTGAGAAACTGCACAAGGAAGGAAAAGAAAAACGAGGAGAGGTAGTTTCTGGCGTTGTAATTACATTGAGAGTTACTGAGGACCATTAAGCTTAACTGTTCAACTTATTCATTAGAACCCTTCAATGAAGACACTTCTTAATTTTTAAATATCTTTTTTTTTGTTCTTACTGTTGTTCTGCTTTTCTCCTTTACTGGTCTTCCTTCTGTCATCATAGTATTTTCTCTTCCTGTCCATTTTCCCCATAAACTTCCATTTATTACTGTAGTAGCTGGCTTGCTGCAACAGTGCAGATCAATCACATCCTGTGTTTTGTTGTGTGAAACTCCTTTTTTAATGTTGGTTAGTAATCCTGTAAATTGCAAAAACCTCATTCCTATATTCTACGCAATAGCAGTTTACATTCGCTTCTCCTATATTGTTTGTGGTAGGATCTTGCTGGGAATCGTAAAAGTAAAAAATTAACATACATGACAGTAGCAGAGCATTAAAGGGTAAGTACACTTACTGTGCACAGCAGTTCTATGAGAGTCACCATGAACCTATGGAAATGCTTAAGCAGATTGTGTCTTTGTTTAAATATTTTCATGAATTTTTGAAGACGGTGGCTTAAATCTTACAGATCACTGTTTGTGTGATTGGGTCTGTTCACTCATTTCAGTCTTGCACTTCTCAAGACATTTATAGGTCAATGTAATAAAGAAAGAAAATTTAATAATATATGTGTTTTTATCCAGATGAGTGACTCACTTTGTGTTTCTATTTCTCATGTGAACTGCTCTTTGACTTTAATGTGTAGTTACATTACTCGGCATTGAATTTAATGTATAATGTAGCCTCTCCCTTCAACTTCTGCACCACAGCTTAAAAAAATAATAATGGTGAATACCACAGAAAATATAGCACAGTAAGTCTTATGCTCTTTTGAGTAAGAAGAGAGGTGAAATTTGAAAAGGATCTGGGTTACTTTTCATTTCCATTTAAGCAAACATTTACAGCACAGTGTGGAACTTAATTATAACAAACTTTTGGCCATAAACATTACTAAAACCGTAAATATCTTAAAACTTTCTCACTGCTTAAGAGGAATTGGCTTATGGACCAGTTTCATTGCCATTTCTGAGTATACAAACTACAATCGTTTTTTGCTATGGAATAGCAGCTCCATGGCATCTACAAGGAATTTGGGAGGTGCTTATTTTTGTATGTCATATATGCAAAAAGATGACCAGACTAAAAGCAAATAGAATTTGCTTCAAAATATGTCAAGCTCCTTTAAGAAGTCTGCCAGTTCCCCTCCAAGGAGCAGTCTTAACAAATGCTAGAAAACAGTTGGAAATAACAAGAAAAGTCCTGTAACATGTAAGCAGAAGGCCACGTTTTGTGGTGTACTCATTCCTAAGGTCAGAAATGCGCAGTATATAGCTTGAACCATGATAGGATCCTTTTGGTGCTGCTCAGTGCATCATGTGAAAGACGAATAGGACAAAAAGCAGAATCTCCTGCGGAGACAACTGGGGTAAGATTTCTTCCGTCTTACTAAGATTCTGATTGATTGCTGAAGACTTTCAGACTGAAGACATTGAATTTTTTCTTCCATCATTTATACCAAAGATGGGTCCTCAGTAGCATGCTCATAAAAATACGATACGTAAGCTGTAAATAAAAATTGCCCGGACAGTCATGATTGTAAGTAAAATCATCACTCTGTTACCCACAAATCAACATTTGTCAATTAGATTTATAATTTTTTATTACATTATTTTATTTTTCCTTTAAAAGTTACATGTTCTGTACATAACTGTACACAGACATTTACATTTACAGTAAGGTACACTCTCTGTCCTAAAAAGCTTATCATCAAAGACAGAGCAGTTGAAAAGTAATATCGGGGAAAAGAAGGAGAAAGGAAAAAGAAAGCAATTTGTGAAGAAAAGCTAAGAGAGCTGCTAAAAGAAGTCAGTGGAGAATTTGGAGGAGGCATTTTCAGAGAGGTAAGAGAAAAAGAAAGCTTTAGTCATGGTGTTTTAAGAAGAGTAGAGTGGGCAGAGTGGAGGAAGCTAACTGGTTAGCTGCAGGCTTAATAACAGCTTTTATACAGTCCGGTGCTCCCTATGATCTGACCCTTTTTTCAGTTGTTTTGCCAAACTCTAGATTGTTGGAACTGAAATTTTCCATGTCAGGTGACTTAGACAGGTGATGCACTTCAGAAGTTGTTTGGAATACTGCCAAGAAAACAAAATCACTTCCTTTTTTTGTGAGATTATGGTTAGGAAACATGCTTGTTGGAAAGCTCTTATGTTAAAAACAAAGAAGCCTAAGGAGAGGTTCTTTGATTTGGGAACATGTTGTTGTTGTTATTCTTTAATAACAATGGCATGGTTTTGACAGTTATTGCCTTTTGGGGCACATGTCCTCTTTCATGGAGTGTGTTATTGATGAAGTTAGGTGAGACACACAGAGAAGTTTTCTATGATAGTAAAGAGAGTTTTGAGGGTTTTTTTTTTTCATTAGTAAATCTTTAAATATGTAGACTTTGCCTTTACTCCCTGATTTTTGGACACACTGTTAGTTAGTAAAAAAATAAATACTGCCATTATTACTTTTTTGGTTTGTGTTATTTCAAGTTCATATTAATTAGACCCTTTATAAGGGAAAAAAATTCTCCTGAAAAGTTTAGTGGCAAGAGGTATTAAAATATGTTGAAGTTTGTTGGCTGGGATGTCTTGGAGCAGGGAGGAGGAAGGGAGAATTGGGAAACAAAGATACAGCAGATTCTAGCCTAAAGATAAGAAAGACAAAAAATAGCTAAATTAGTACTTCCATAGCGCAGGGGGAAAAAAAAAAAACTGCTGCTACACCTAAAACAATCTTCTTAACACCTAAAATAATCTTCTTCCCCTGCACCGAACGCAATGAACTTCGTGGTCTCATTTTTTTAAAATGTACTTACCAATTTTGTTAATTTTCCAGAAAAATAATTATTTTTCCCTTTGTGCAGCTGCTAAGGATTGCAAGACATGCTAGGCAGTCATTCTTTGCCAGTGTAGCCGGCTTTTGTTGTGTGGTGCTGTGGTGATGTATTTTCTGTCAGGAGAAATTTATACTTACTCTGCTTGACAGGAGCAGTTAGCCACAAGGATTGCCTAAGGAGAAACTTCTTCATGCAGTGGGTGAGGATTTTCATTTTTCTTTTGGTCACAATGGAGTTCCCAAACTCTCCTGGCTTCCATGGAACCTCACTCATCTGTCAGCTTTACTGGCCCTGCCCCAGCACAGCAGCAGACCAAGGCTGATACAGCCTCCACTGAATGGCAGCCTAAAAACCGACTTTCAGTGCAGATTTCATTCTTTACAAGGGGGCAAGTTAGTAAGGCTCTAGTGTATTTTCAATGAAAGCAGTTCAAATAAGTCTGTATGTTACCTAAAATACTTGTAGCTTTACTACTTAGGCTTGAAAATGTTGCTATCTCCTTTAACACCACAGGATAAAATAAATTGGGCACAGGAAACTTTCGGTTCAAAAGCAGGTTATGTTGCTATGGAGTCTATGGCCTCTCTGAGAGTTTAACTGAAGAAGGCGGCGATACCATTCAAGCTGCTGGAAGAATCAGTTTCTTCAGAGCAGAGAGTCAGTGTCTGACAAGGAAACCCCATTTGGGGCAGGAAAGACAGACTTCCTCGCAGTCTCAATTTGTCCAGCATAGAGGCTTCTCCACTGTGTCCTGCCCCTTCACCTTTCTTTGTCCTGAGAAACAATAAATGAAAAATAGTAGCTGAAATTCTCTCCAGCAGCTGCTAAAAGCAATTATTCCAACTCTTTATGGAGCTTTCAGAAGGTACTCCATTGTTCTTCCTTCCAGGCTTTTCAGGTCTAAGGACCTTGCATTTTTTTTCCCTTGAGAGAGAAAAAGAAATCAATCTTCACAAATGAAAAATGTAGATTTCTGTCTCTTCTCAGAGTTCTGGCAGAGTCTTTCTTGAAGTCTTGAGTGTCTCATGTTTTGAGGAGGCTTGAAAAACCAAACTTGGAGGCATGGCTGCTTGGGAGTGGTCTTTTGCTAGTGATGTGTCTTCTGTTAGTGATGTGTCTTTTGCTGTCAATCTGAAAATCCGCAAGTTGTACCTGCTTAGGGAATTAGAGCTCAGTTTTGATACTGCCTGTTCTGGACATCTGAGCAGTCTACAAGGTAGGCATCTGTCCCTAGCAGTGTTTTATTCAGGCTTCTTAAGTTAGGGATGTTCCTTATGTAGTGTTTAGGATATAAATACTTCTGAAGGCCTCTAAAATACTTCTAAGGCTCCAGAAGTTAGGAGCTGCCTTCTGTCTTCTGACTACAAAAGTAGACCTCTGTTATTGGTAATTACATGTACCTGTAAGGCACACACAGGAATTTCTGCAGCAACCAGCTGGAAAAACTGGATGCCGGTGTCTTATCTGGAATTCACAGTATGTGTGTCTGTATGCCAGTATGTCTGCCATGAGATTTTGTCTGCTTTAGTGTCTGCTGAAGGGGGGTGGATCCTCAACTGAAACAGGAAAAGTACTCTTTTTGCATAATAATTTCTTAGCTGGAGTTGGGGTTTTCATCTTCCTTCAATTAGTAGCCCCCTAGAAATTTCCAGTGCAATTGCATGTTTATCAGAGATTGAATTTTATTGCGCTGACAATATTATTGCCTTAGTTTAGGGGTTTTTTTATGACCTTTTCAAGTTCTTCTGCAGAAATTGGCCCACTGTTCAGAAAAGATTCACAAGGGCATAAGGACAGCAAACAAGAGAGGGAGGATGAAGCTCTGAGTTCTGGTTCATACTCTCAGTCTATTTATGCATATTATCTTATGGCTCTGAGATCTAAAATACAGGAGCAGAGACAAAAAACAAAGACAGCCTTCTCCCAGAGATGTTCATTTCTGTGCAGATGCTGAATACAGGCCTCAAATTAATTTCTTACCTTCTGTCTTCAAGAGTGCTTCTCTCTGGGTTGTACATGGGCACACCTTCAATGGAAGACAGAGGGTACGCTACGTGAGAGGAATGGCTGCCTCCTGCTGGTGAAGTCACTCTTATGGAATATGGCCCATATGATATGGTTACCATGTTTCAGTGCAAGTCTTTCTCTTCCTTTTTGCTGACCACGTAGGAAGTCAGCTAGCTGCAGGAGTGTATATCTCACAGTGAGCATAGTTTTTTGTAATTAATACTTTGTATTTGGAAATATATTTTGGATTTGCTTTTGTGATATACATAGACTAAAATCTAGTTCAAGGGATTTGCCAGAAATTCAGACTTATCTTCCTTTACTGTTGATGAAAACTGATAATGCCTATCTTCTCTTGTCATCTTCTAGGAGAGAAACCGTTCAAATGTGATGAGTGTAACTTCGCTTCCACAACACAATCGCATCTGACACGACATAAGCGTGTCCATACTGGAGAAAAGCCTTACAGATGTCCCTGGTGTGACTACAGGTAATGAGTCATTAACTAAAGCATGATGAAAAAAGGGTTAAGGTGATCAGATGAGGTTCATTTGAAGTCACCAATAAAAATATATTGCCATTAAAACACCATCAGTGCAGCAGTAATTGCATATTAAATTAGGAGCTAAATTTAAAAACTTAGTCTTCAGTATTTAGGTATTACTTTATAAAGAAAAACAAATGATGGGAAACCTTTTAGTGGTAACACTGCAGTGCTAATGTTGAGTGTTTGTTTCACAGCTGCTCTAGTGTCTGTTAGAATTCTCCATGGTGAGACTCCTTATCTGCATTGCCTTTTCAAATCAGTTGCAGTTTTGAAATTTTTCTCGGTTGAGTTGCAACCATTCCACCCAGAAAGGAAAAGTCCCCTAAAAGGCTTAGCAGCCTAAATACTCATCAGACGCTTATTAGAATTGGAAGCAACTGGAGCTAGTTAAAGTGCTGCCGAGTCTGGTGGTTTTGCTCCAGTTTTCTCCTTGCCAGCCAAGTTTATTGGATGAGAGTGGATGTAGGGTGGCTGTGTGGCAAAGTCTCATAAGTTACGCCATTAAAACCCATCCTATTATGACAGTACAGTTAAGCTTTCAAACATCACATAAATGGACTACTAAGATTTCTTGTGGTACTCATCCCATGTGTCTTATGTTCGTTGTAGAATAGTTATGAAATGATCTCATGTTACTTCTTAAGTTACTTCTTAAGTTACTTCTTAATTCTTCTTAAACATACTTCTTCTGCAACCTTGAATACTTTTAATATCTTGCAGTAAAGCAGCTAGTCTATGTGTACTATAAAAGTATCCAGTGAAATCATTTATAAGCAACTTATAGGAACTGAGGTTCAGAAAGTTCTTTAAAAATCAGTATTATATTAGAGAAATGATATATGATTCTGTAAATAGATACACATGCTGTGATTCATGCGGGCAAGCAGGGAAAGTTAAACATCTGATTATACCAGTACAACATTTTTTAGTTTTTTTAAAATGCTGAGCATACAACTATAATGGTCTTTTAGTATATGTTTTAATGTAGTTTCCTAAAACAAGGTTATATAACAAAGGCTAGCCACTCTCATAATATCTGATTTTGCACTGTTTATTATCTACTTTAAAGAAAGCATCTGTACAGAAAGCTTCTGCACTGATCTATGCAGTTGCTGTACAAAAATACAAGTTATATTGGTTCACGTATACAAAGTGGATGTTCTGTGAGCTCTGCTGTACTGAGCATCCATTAAATTGCTGCGTAGATCTGCGAAGGACTGAACTTGATAACTTAGGTGCCTTTCTCTTCTGTGCTCTGAACTTAAAGAACTTCCCCCTCCGTTTTTGTTTTGGTTTCTAAAATAGAAGTATTTATTTCAGCTTGAGTATACTTTGGATCAAATCATCTAAGAAGACTAGGTGGTTTTGTATTCCTCGGAATGGTCACATTAAAAAAATCTGTGTGAGTGAAATGACAGCATATAGGGAACACAGTTAGTGTGGCATGACATGCAGCAGTAAACATCAAAGCTCCTGGGGAATGCTATCTTTCTGACACTGCATGTTTGAAAAGGCTTAATCTTGTGGTCATCCACTTTCGTGAACCATCCCAATAGGAAGAAGTAATCTTGTTTACGGAACAAGATAAAGAGAGATGGGTTATGATGGGTTTAAGCATCTGACTTGGACACACTAGTGAGTGGGAGTGTTGTTGATGTGAATCAGAGTTTGCAGCTTGGGGTTCGTTGCACACCAAATGAGTGGGTGCAAGCCTGGAACCTTGCTTTTTCCCTTGCCCAGCATGCGAGAATGCATAACGGCATTAAATGCTCTGGCTGGGAGGATGTTCAATAAACGACAGGTGATTGTTTTTCTTCAGATGGACAAGTTTCTGTATGGGGTAGTAATTTCAGGAAATGACGAACTTTTGACTAGTATTATATTATATTTGAGGTTATTAGGGAAAAAGCAAACATCGCTTACACATTTTATCAGGATAACAGGAAGTCTCCTGAGCCTCCGTATTATTGGAAAAACATTGTTTTGTGATAGCAAGATGTTAGTTTCCTTCCCTCGTAGGCCAATTTCGCCCGACTCTTTGAAGGCTGATATGTACAGGCATTAGCTTATGCAGCTTTGATTCTGCAAGAAGTTTTTTCTGACCTCAGCTGAAAAACATCTGACAGGAATGCAGAAAGTAGAGCTGTGCTGCTGCTGCAAGTTCAGAGAAGCAGTGAGGCACTCTGCAGAGCTGCAGAGAAGTCAGTAGTGGGGCTGCTGTATTTATTAGCCCAGCAGTCCTACTTGTGCTTGCCAGTTTCCACAGTCCTGGGATATTAGCCAGGCTTGTTGGCAGATAAATTTTTTCATGCTGTCCACCTCTCGCATTTTTTCCTCTTTATTTTTTCTGTGTATTTTTAAGGGAATCACATGTTGCCTGCTTATTAACTCACCCACCGCTATCTCTTTCCGTGAAGAAAAGGTAATAGCAACTCAGCAAGTAATGTTCTTCACACCAGTTCAACAGACTGTATTTACTCTTCAGGGTGTCACCCACCCAAAACATGGCATCAAGGTTTTCAAACCTGCAGATCTAGTAATAAAAATAAACCCCCATGTCTAGTGGTTGCGCTCTCGCTTTGCTGATTTCAGCTCAGCCATTGTACTCTAAGTTCATCCAGACTATTTCAGATGTTGCTGTTTAGTGTTGCTGGGCAACTACAGACTTTTAATAACCTTTATAGTTTCACTGAGATGAATATTCCCCATTTTGTGTATGGATATGTAGTACAGGATTGTTAGTGCTATCATAATGTCTCCTTTCACTGATAGGTGCAGTGATCTCTGCATTCTAAAAAGTAGTTTGGGACATTTGAATAAAAAGAGTGCCTAAATATTAAATATTTTTAATTATTCCTGTTGAACTCATCAGTGCTCAAAGGGTTCTTAGAGATTACTGATTTCAAGCTTTTCAATGGGAAGAAATTGCGAACAATCATCCTGCAAAAACTCTTGCCAGACAAGTGAATGAAAGGCTAACTAACCATGGCTAGAAGTATAGAAACAAAGGCTATTAAAAGAAACAAATCCGAATTTCGGAGCTGTTATTAAAATGTGAATCATTTGTGACTGTACATGCACCTATAACTCATCTTTTTTTTTTTTAGCAGCAGAAACGAGTGGAATAGACTATAGGACACTATGGGAAAAAGATTGATTTTGGCTGTATAGAACAGAAAAGGAAATTTATTCTTTATAGCCCTCAGTCAGCAAGGGAAATTCTTTTCTTAACTAGGAAAAGACATGAACTGATGTGGTTTTCCCAAGTGAATAATAAACTAATCTAGAGTTTTTATCTCACAAATTATACATTCTCAGTAGTATGCATATTCCCAAATAGAAAACAGGGGAAATTTTGGTCATTTTATTTTAACTGAATTGCTTTTATAATCTATGTTTATGGTTATGGTTAAATGTTTTTGCAAAATTTTATCTTCCATCTCTGCTTTTTGTAGTAAGGTGAGTTGATATTTATATTTTCTAAATCTGTAGCTTATCGATAACAAAGAAATGAACTGATTTTCTATGACAGCAGTATCCAACTTCTAGTAATGATTGTAATTTGGAATTATTTTTTTCAGTCTATTTTTGAAAATCTCATTTGTTTTGAAGGAAGAAAAAAAAATCTATCTCAAAAAATTTGCTTATTAAAAGTTTAAACTGGTATTCCCAGTTTTGTCCATATTTCACATTTGTATTTTCAGTTCATCCTGTTTAGATATAAATATGCACATATTTCCTTTGCACTTACTATCTCTAATCACAGTGTTTCTCTCCATTCTTAAGTCAATGTGCTTCATCATACAGAAATATTCATTCACTCCTAATTACGTTCACTACACTTTTATAATACGGAATTGGTCTCATAGGGCCCTACACCACCATTACGTATGCAATACTTATCTTGTATTTCTCTGTCATTTTAGAAAGATGTGTTATGGGGCTAAACTTTTTAGATTACATGATCTTAAGAGTCGTACTGACAAAAATACTGTTTGCATTTTGTCACAGGCACAATAAGAAATGAAGAGTCATGTAACCTCCTGAAACTGAATAATATCTGTGAACTTAACTAGTTTCTAAAACTGTGGGTTGTACGTTCTGTGGCCAGACTTCTCAAACCTGGCTGCCTAACTGAAGGCAACAGTGTAGGCACCTGAATATAGCCCCTGATTTCGGAAGCGCTAAACGCCCGTTCATCCAGTGACATCGATGAAAGATGCAGATATGCAGCATTTTCAAAAATTGAACTGTTTTTTTGACTGTGTCTAAAGTTAAGAATTAGAAATCTAATTTTAGTCATATGTTAGGCTTTAAAGCCAAGTCCCATCAGTACTAACTTTCCATGTATCTATCACTAACTTTCCATGTATAATATTTATGTTCATGGTGTGTATGTGGGGGGGTTGCTTTAGTACAAAGTGGATTCAGGTTACTTTGTTTTAGGGAGGGTAAAAGGCACAGCCCTGCATTTCAAGCATATTCAAATTTTTTGGAGTTCAGGGCTTAGGAGGAACACTGGCTTAGTTCTGTGGTTTAGAAACATCTTTGCTGCAGCTTTGACCATAGGACTGTGGGACAGGTATAACGTTAAGCTACTCTACGCCATCCCTATTCTGTAATTAAAGAAAATGACTCTTGTTCCTCTGGGACTCTACTGCACAGTTTAATTTTGCACAGGTACCTGGGGGGGGTGGGGGAGGAAGGAGGGAATGGAAAGCAACATCCACGCGATTGGTGGTGTTCTATGGTAATAGATAAGAGAGTTTAGATCTTTATAAAATAAACAGCCACACCAGCAAAACAGCATTAATTCCATAAATGCACCTTTCTATAAAGTATATGGCTTGTGAAGGATGTCTTACAAGACTGAGAATGAATAGCATGCATTTTTAATATAATTATGTAAACTAAAATAAATATTTTACATTTATTATGCATAA